CACATAGTTGACCGCGGTTCATGTCCCGGACCCGGTGGCTTAAAACTCACGCCGGGTGCGTGTGCGAGCGTGCCCAAGATCCCAAGAGGAGAATGGAGAAGGGATTACGGCGTGACCATCCCCTCTGTGGGGCGATTTCTCGCTTTCTGTCTCTATGTCTCTGTCTGTCTGGCGAGCGCCCGCGCCCTTCTAAATAAATAAATAAATAAATAAATAAATAAATAAATAACCAGGTCGTCCCAACGCCTGCCACATCACAGGCCTTTCATAGCTATTTAGGAAACACACCTGCTGGGGATGCGTGTTTAAGTATGAGTCAAACACTGGACCATGGTTTCCTCTTATTTCTTGACTACTAAGAGAATATTGCAGCGGGCTCACCGCCCAGCGTGTACTTCCTTGAAGCTCACCCAGGTCCTGCCTCCTGCTCCCACAAATCCCCAGAACGATGGTCAACTGTCTTGAAAGCAGTGAGCGTGGATTGTTATACTGTATTTACGAACTTTTCAAAGTGTAGAGGTGTATTTTCCCCTGGATTAAAAATGCGTTTGACCAACTGCGCGTAGTTACCAGGAGACTGGGACCCTGTGCGGTTTGATCCTTTCCCATTCCTCGCTTGTACCTCTCTCTCTCTCACACACACACACACACACACACACACACACACACACACACTAATGTCGCAGTATTTCCGGTGCAGGAGGCGTTCCATGTGGCTAAAATGGCATTCAGACATTTCAAGATCCGCGTGAGGAAGTCGCTGACGCCGACTTACGCGGGCTCCAATGACTTTGAGAACGCAGTAATGGATTACATCATTTGTCACCTGGACCTGTACGACTCCCAGAGCAGTGTCAATGTGAGTGTCTTGTCCCTGCCACACTGATTCGCTGCTGTCATGCTCGGTGAGAGCTGGCCGCTCAGGAATTCCTCGCGCGGCCACTGCTGCTTCCCTGCAGTGCAGGAGACCCAAGGACCAGCCTTCAGCCCCTCTGGCTCCAGCCATCACAGCATTTCTTCTTTAAACATCTTATTGGAGGAAAATGTTGAGCTTCGTAGTTCTAGCCTACAAATGCACTGTTGAGTGGGGAAAAAGAATATCATAGATCTTGAAAAAAAGAATTATTTATTTAATTTTATGATCATTATTATTACTTTTTAAATTTGCTACAGGGCACATGCACCCACCAGAGAGAGACAGAGAAAGAGGGAAAGTGAGAAAGCATGTTGCTAGGTCCAGGAATTGAACCATGATTGGCCATGTGGGAGTCCAGCACCTTAACCACCACGCCACCACTGGCCCTAAGAACATATAGATCTTAAGAGCAAAGACTTCAGGAAAGATCTGTGCAGATTCGCATCCTGACTCTGCCGCTTACTGACTGTGTGGCCTTACACATTTATGTAACCTTTCCGGTCTTTAGCTTTCTACTCTAAATGAGGACAGTGGCCATTGCAGTGTAGAGCTATCGGGAGGATAAAATGGCAGAGAGAAGGTAATTTGCTTAGCATGAGTCTTGGCACATAGTAGATGCTCTGTAAAAGCAAGCTGTTGTAATGGTTTTTATTACAGATTTTGAACAGTTCTGAGTTCTATGTTGACACCTTATACTCCTGCCCAGGATGGAAGAATAAGGAAATTTAAAGACCTCGGAAGGTTTTCTCCTTTACTGTTTCCGAGGGGCTCTCTTGGCCTTTAGTGTGTCGTTTGTCCTCTTGGGTCATCATCTTTCCTGTGTCCCTATTAATGAGTGACCCCATCTTTCTCCGTTCAGGCCAGCCACTGTTTTTCTGGTTTCTGGTGCTTTCTCTCATGTTCTTCGCCCGCCTCCCCTCGGGCATACGATACGTAGGATGTCCGGGCTTCTCGTGATGGGCTGGTAACAAGGGGTCCCGTCTTTTGTTTTTCAGGATGTGGTCCGAGCCATGAATGTCAACCCCAAGATTTCATTCCCCCCTGAAGTGGACTTCTGTGTGCTCAGCGACTTTATCCAGGAGATCTGCTGCATTGCTTTTGCCATGCAGGCTCTAGAGCCACCCCTAGACATCGCCTTTGGGGCGGATGGGGAAATTTTTAACGATTGCAAGTAAGAGACACAGCAGAAGCTCCTGGGCTTCCTGGCCCTGCCCCTCCTCCTCTGCCCTGCAGGCAGGGCCCCATGCTGGGTCATTTCCTCTTGAACACATTGATCTTTGGGGAGAGCGGAGGAGTACTCCAAGCCTGTCTGGAACATTTTAAAAGAAAGGTGCTTTGGGCCAGCAGATGGTGTAGCAGTTATGTTGCTAGACTGCCACGTGGCTGACAGGGGTTCAAGTCCTGGATCCGATGACTTGAAACTCATGCTGGGTATGTGTGTGTGTGCCCAAAATCCCAAGAGGAGAATGGAGGAGAAGGGATTGCGGCATGGCTATCCCCCCGGGGGATGATTTCTCACTGTCTCTCTGTCTCTGTCTGTCTCTGGTGAGTGCATACACCCTAAGGCAAAAACCTCTACCAAAAAAAAAAAAAAAAGAAAGAAAGAAAGGTGCTTTATAAATGAAATGATTTCTAGTGCATTATTTAAGCCAAGTTTCTCCAAGGTGGTGTGTGAATCACCCACATTAATAACTCAAGGTACTTGTTGGAAATGTAGATTCCTGGGTCATATTCCATGGTCTTTTATGTCCAGGGTGAGGCTTAGGTATGTACAGTTTAGCAAGCACCCACAAATGCTCTCCATCTTTTGTCTAGGACCATTAAACATCTACCAAGTTTTACACAGTAAATAATTCCCTGATAAATGAGAGGAAATGAAATTTTAACCTTTGTAACATTTTATTGAAATAACTTCATGATGTCTTAGGATATAGCTGGAGTTTATCTGGAAAGAGACCAAGCTTGTGGGTAAGGATGCAGGCTTTGACCTTAAGCTGTCTGAGTTCGAATCCCGGCTCCATTGCTTCTTGGCTATATCATCTTGGGCATGTTCCTTAGTTTCTTCTCATGGAGGAAATGATCATTTCTACTCCCTCGGGCTGCAGGTTCGTTTAGATAATTCAGGAAAGCACGTAGGGCACTAGCTGGCATGTAGTGAGTGCTCAGGAAGTAGTAGTTCTGGATTTTTGATTTGATTTTTTTTTTTAAGAACTACTTTATTTAACCTTATTTATTTATTTTAATTTGACCAGAGAGGGACAGAGTGAGAGAGAGAGAAAATGAAAAAGCAAGCCACCAGGTCCGGGACTTAAACCGCAGTCAGCCATGTGGGAGTCCAGCACCCTTAACCACCATGCCACCTGCCGGCCCCTTAGCTCTGGGATTTTGTTCAGGCCGTAGGGTTACGGGTTGGTGGTGCCCTCCATCTGTGCCCGCTTGTTGATGCGGGAGACCATATCCCTTTCTTTCATTTACACAAATCCCACCAACAACCGGCTTTCGGGTGGCCATACTCATTCCCTGCGTGCCATGGAAGAGCTAGATTTTAGAGCACTACCTCAGCTGGGTCCCCTAGTGCCCTTACAGAGCATTTTGTCTTCATCTGTTTCCTTTCATTCCTTTCTCTTGTAAAGGATGGCGAGGACCGCTCAGGAACATCCCCTGTCCTAATTTCTAGCATCGGCACATTTTACTGTTCTCTGTGGGGCCTCTGCTTCCATCCTGTAGCCAGGGGGAACGTGCTGGTTTGGGGGCATTCTGTGGCCCCCACACCTGGGCTGCTGAGCCGTGAACTGGAATTCCTAGCAGCTTGGAATCTCACAGAACAGATTGAATCCCTTTCACCCTGGCAGCCCTTCACATGTCTGAAAGCAGCTACAGGCGATTCTTGGCTTAGCACGGACCACTCAGCGTTCGACTCTGCCAAGGTGTCAGTGATGGGCGTTCGGTAGGAGCCGTACCAGGGTACCCAGACAGCCATTCTGGTTTCCATTTCCAGCGCAGTGTTAAATCCGTTACACGAGATGATCGAGAGCTTATTATGAACCAGGCCTTGTGTTAGGTGACGTCCTGCTGCAGGCTGGTCTCCGTGTTCTGAGCATATTTCAGGTAGGCTGAGAGTTCTGGGCGTGTTAAGCTAGGATGTTTGGTGTGTTAGGTGCATTTTCAGACTATGGTGGGCTTATTGGAACATAACCCTACTGTAAGTAGAGGAATACCTGTACTCAAATCCTCCTTCTCTGGCCTCATGGCTTTAGTAAATTTTTTTTTTCTTTTTTTTAAGTTTGCTATAGGGTGCATGTGCTCACTAGGGGGAGAAAGAGAGAGAAAAAGTGAGAAATCATCCCCCCAGGCAAATGACCGTACTGTAATCCCCTCTCTTCTATTCTCTTGGGATTTGGGGCACACATGCACATGTGCCACTGTGTTTTTTTCTTTCTTTTTTTTTCATAGACCACAGATTAGTTTATTTTTAACACCCTTCGTGTCATGAATTCACAGGGACTAGGTTCCAGTAGCTCAGGCTCCTTTCCATGGGTTCTCACACAGTGGCTTCTCTGGGTGGAGCAGGCTGGCGCTTCAGTTGAATCCAGGTCCCTTTCTCTTCGGCTTCCTTCTTTTTCTGCTCATTTTCCTTCAACGTTTTAGGAAGCTGTCTCTGCTCTTAGAATGCTTCATATGCTCAATACGCACATTTATTCTCTTGGCAAGAATCTTGCCCTTAACTTGTCTGTTCAGGACAATGCCAACAGCGTGCTGGGTAACATTGTAGACTCCCCCAGTGTTGCCATGGTCACATTTGAGGGGCATTCCTTTGTGGACAGTACCCATCCCCTGATGTCTACACTATCACCTTTCTTGTAGATTCTCATATATGTTGCCAAAGGAACCGCTCATGTTTTCTAAAAGGCCTAGAGAACATACATCGGGTGCCTCTCCTCTTTCCCGCTGTGTCTGTCAGTTTGGTGAATTACTGGAAGATGGCGGTTCCGGCCAAAAGGCGCCAGTGTATTTTTCAAGCTGCCGGAGCCAGGACTCAAACCGTGCTGTTGGCCATGTGGGATCCAGCCACCTTAACCACCATGCCACTGGCTGGCCCCAAGATATTGATGTTTTTAAAAAATTAGATTTGACATTCTGTGCCCTTTTAACATTCCTTTGAAAGAAAGTGTTCACAGCTAAGTGTCAGCCTGCGGTTGGAACCGACCGGCCTCCAGGGACCAAGCCTCTTCACCCATCTGTCGCTCTGTGAGCTCAGCCAGTCCGCAGCAGCTTGCCTGCCTTCCTTCTCGCCCTGCAACACCGTCGGTTCGTTCTGAGTCCAACCAACACCCGCCATTATATTTTCCGTGTGCTGTCGCTACGCCATCTGTCTCCTCGACTTGTGCGATGAACCAGTAGTTCATCGGGAAGGTCATGATGTATTGTTCTAGGTTTTTCTATGCAAAAATGTGTCATGACTTTCCCAGTAACTCAGTACTTTTCAGACGCCACTGCCGGACCTCACGTGTATCCACTTGGCCTTGTATCTTATCAGCTTCAACTTATTGTCCAGCCTGCTGAGTTATTTTTTGGCTAGTCATCTGTTCTTTTCTTTTTTAAATGACCCACCCTCCACCTTTCACATGTTTTCTGTATTTCACGCAAGTCGTTGACGAACATATCGGCCAATGATAGGACCGTGCAAGCTCTCTTAACATCTTTCTCCAGGTGCTCTTCGGTCAGTTTCTGACCCACCTGTTTAAGTTAACTATCCACCTGCATTTCTTTCACTGTGCACACAGACATGTGAGAAATCTTACAGGAAACCTTATGGTACTTCACATCGTCTCTGTCTCTTGAGTTTTTCTGCCATAGGGCGGGCGCCACCACACCCCTGTCTCTTGAGTTTTTCTGAACTGCAGCTCAGAAGTCCCAAGAAGAGAAAGAATAAGATTGGTCTGGCATGACTTGGTTTAGTGAGTTCATGCTGAGGCCTAGTGTCACTGGTTAAGTCTACGCCCATCACTCTCTCTCTCTGCTTTTTTTTTTTTTTTTTTTTTAAATTTAATTTAATTTTTTTTTAATAATTTCCCATAGGGTATGTGTTTTTGCCAGAGAGAGACAGAGAAAGGTAAAGTGAGAAGTCACCCCTTGGGGGGATGGTCATGCTTCGTTAATCCCTTTTCCTCCTCCATTCTCTTCTTGAGATTTTGGGCATGCACACACATGCACCCAGTGTGATTTTCAAGCTGCTAGTCTGGGACTTGAACTGCAGTTGACCAGTACCTTAACCACCATGCCACATGCTGGCCCCATCTCTTTCTCTTTTTTTAAAGCCTATTTATTTCTTTCTTAAGAGAGAGAGTTGGGGGGCACCCTCACAGGGCCTCTGTGCCGTGATCCCACCCCAGCCTCAAGTAGGCTGGACCATGCGCTTGGGGATGTTCACAGCCCTAGCGGGTACAGGGAGGTCTTGGGGAACCGAGGACCTGTCTACGTGAGCTTGGTTGTGTTGCTGCTGCTTCACCATCTGGCTCTGACCATCTCGCTAAGACCAGAATCGGGATCCACAGTAAGAAGTGAACAGAGCTGATGCCCCCTGGCCATGCGGCCTGGCTGCTCACCGTCTCTTTCTCGCCCTCTGCTGCTCACGCAGGTACCGCCGCAGCTACGACTCGGATTTCACCGCTCCCTTGGTCTTCTACCACGTGTGGCCCGCTCTCATGGAGAACGACTGTGTCATTATGAAGGGAGAAGCTGTCACCAGGAGAGGGGCTTTTGTACGGTGGCCTTGCATAGTGACAGTTCATCCCAAGTGTTTGATTCACAAGTTCGAGAACATTTATAAACCCAAAGATTCTATAAAAGAAGTGTATAAAGAGTTGTTTGATATGACTTCATGCAAAGGAGAGGAAAGCTGTGGCCCGGGAAAGAATAGATTCTTTTCTCTGATTCTAACATGATTCTCCATAATGTCCTGACAGTAACTTCTGTGCTGCTTTATTTATAAGATGGAACTCATTGTAGCTGCCGCCTCCATCTTAGAGAGATGATTATATTTTAAGGGCAAATCCTCTGAACTCATCTTGCTGTAAGCATTTAAAAGCGATTAAAGTTTAGGAAATAATTTGGGAAATTTTACTGGTGGCTCTCCATTTTGGGAAACTATGACAGTGCCTGGTTTTTCTCTCCTTCGTATGATCTATAAGGAGGGGAGGGATGAAGGAAAAAAACAGAGGAAGTGAGGGGAGGAGCCACTCAGTTTGGGACAATGCTCCGTAGACACATTGGCTATCGAATGGCTGGAGACATGTTAAGTAACGGAGTAGCCCTCCCAGTGGAGCATTGAGCACGTGCGTGTGCGAGTGTGTGCGTGTGTTGTAGTGGGGGGTGGAGCTGGTGGCCACAAGTGTGTGGATTTCTGTATTGATCATGTGTCGTTTCCACCCCTGTCTGTCCTTGCAATAGCTAAGTAAATTCTGAAGTGAAGTCGTCAGTGCGGAGCAAAGTCACCCTCTGCTGGTCTCTACCCCTGTTCTCTTCGAACCGGAGAACAGGGCAAATGCCTCATGGCAGCTCCACGCACATTTAGAGGAGAAGTTGATTCTCAAAGAACCTTAGAAGAGGGTTTTAAAGTTTAAAAATCCCATTGCGATGAGTAGCATCTCAATAAAATGGGTCGTGCTACAGAAGTTGAGCCCCCAAACCACACGTGCTCTCAGGGACCAACTCAGAACACGTGCTTGCCCCTCAGCCATCACTCTGTTATAAACCTCCCAACTGCAATGCCGATTGGAAGGGAGGGCGAAGACCTGGCCACTGCCCAAATGTTCTCCATCAAATAGCAACTGCTGTGTAGCTGGCTCCTCCGCCATCAAGACCGTCACCAGCATCTGCCCAAGCTTTAATCTGAAAGTGATAGTTCAAGGAAGGACTTGAGAAAGAAGAGTTGAATGCAGGGAAAAGTGTAGAAGGATTTTACTAGTGAAGTCTCATTTTATGGACATAACTTATTTGTTCATCTCGTTCATAAGTGGACAGTAATAGTTTTCATTTATTCATTCGCTTCACTCATGATATTCATTCAAGAGTTAGTTGTGACCCTTTGGCTAAGGACTTAGTAATGAAGAAAAGAAAGCCCCTCCCACAAGGAGCTAACACTCTCCAACTGCAAAGCAAATGTGTAGTCAAAGACAAACAAAAAAACAAAACAACCACATGAAACAACCACCAGCACCAAGGGCTTGCGCTAGGGGGTCCTCAGCCAAGTCATGATGCATTTTTGCAAACGTAGGAAAATACATCATGACTTTTCCAATGACCCAGTAGTAGAATGTCCCTGGGTTCACTGTAATAGGATTTCATTTGAGAAGAACCCAGAGTTATTGCCGAGTGTTGGGAAGCTCTAGGAGTTGGAAGATGTGTGGTCCGTGTGATGATCAGTCAAGGGCAAGTGTAATCATGTCAGGAAAACCTCTTGTTCTGCGGGGTATGCATATTGACGTAGCCGCATTTGTCTTTTGCAAGCTCTTCGCTCTCGCTCTCTCTCTCTCTAGTGGAATTCGGTGCGATCTGTAAGCCGATGTCGAAGCAGGAGCCTAAGTCCAGTTTACCCTCGTAGCCGTATTGGTTTAAGCACGGTACGTGTCTTTCAAATGATTTTTACACAGAACTCCCCCGGCTGGTCAATGTCTTTGCTTTGTTGCCTAGAAGAGAGGTGACTTTAAGTCTACAGGTTGAAAGAGAACCTGTTGCAATAACGTTAACCTCAAATTGTTTTTCTTACCTCTCTGTGCTAAGGGATTTAGCTTTCTATGGGCCATCAGAAAAGTCATGACACACTTTGGCTTAGAAAAAACAGAAAAATAGGGCATGACTTTTCTGATGACCAAATAGAAAGCAGGAATAACACACTTTACTTGTTTCCTAGTTTTATTTTGATATTTGACATGGATTGTTACAGGTTAGACAGTTTTGCAAACAGAGAATGAAATACCGCAGTCAGCTGATCTGGGCACAGGTCTGTGAGTCTGCTAGAGATTATTATTATTTTAAGATCTATTTATTTAGTTCTTCCATTAGAGAAAGACACACAGAGATATAGAGAAACAGGCACTCTCAAAGAGTTCTTACGCTGCAATCCACTGTCAGAAGCAGCTAGTCCAGATCATGGGTACCCTCGTGTGTGACAGCTATACAGGGAGGTCTCAGGGCTCAAACCAAGGACCTTCTGGTGTGGGTCGATCTGCATTACCACTATGCCGCCATCTGGCTTCCTGTAGAAATTATTGTTATGAGTTCTGAGAAGCTGTTCGAGTGGTCTGGACTTCAATATTTTATGCCTTTATAAAGGGCATTGGAAATATTAATTTGTTCCTAACTTTGAAGTGGGGAGAAATAAGGTTCGTTTCTTTGTATATTAGTTCTTGGAGAGCTTACTAATACTCGGTCAAAGAAAAAAAAATAACAGCAAAAACATCACTGAAAACTATGGAGACAACATCCCTGAAAACATAATTTTGACTTACCACGGGTTTATTTATTCAACAAATAATAGTCAGTGTGTTTTGCATACAGGGCTGGATCAAGACATGCGAACGCCAGGGAGGCTAGCATTTGCCGCTCCATCAAAGAAAAGGGTTTTAAACGTTTGTTCAGCCTCGTTTTAGGAGAGAGAGTGGTGGGGAAGGAGAAAGTTAAAAAGTGAAATTCAGAAAGTGATTCTTGGGACCAGCAGGGGGTTAAGGCGCTGGACTCCCCCATGGCTGGCTGTATGTAGCTCAAGTCTCGGACTTGGTGGCTTGCTTTCTCACTTCCCTCTCTCTCTGATTGTGTGCATATGCCCTATAGCAAATTAAAAAGTAATAACAGTAATAAATAAAAAGTAAATGAATAATTGTAAAGAAAGAAATAGATAGAAATGATTCTTTTCTGACTACCCCTAGCCTTCATTACTAGGGCAGGGTTTTGGACACAAGAGCTCGCTTACATAAAGGATGGCTGGATACTCTATCATCATTTTAGCTTTAATTACTCAGATGTTACTGGGTTGTCAGAAAAGTCATGACATATTTTTTCTGTGTTTTTCTGTGCAAAAGTAGGTCAGGACTTTTCCAAGGACCCAAATATAATATAATAATTTCTGGACAGCGTTGACTGTCATATGGCTGCTCCCAGGCCATCGAACTCAGCTTTTGGTCCATAATATAATGTAAACTAAGGTGAGTGTCCATTTACTTTAAGAAGTATGAAAGGAACCACAGTGGTCAACCTTACGGGGAAAAATTCATAATTCTACAAATGCCTTAGGGAACTACTGAGCTGGTTTTAGGGAAATCAAAAACAGAAAAGCTGCATCCTTTGAGCGCCAACTGTCTGCTCTGTAATTCATGTTACGCTTTGATTTCTTCCAGTTGTCTCGAAGTCGGAGCCCTTCTCCAATAAGATGTGGATTGCCAAGTAAGTAAGACAGCTTCCTGGAACTCTTTCTGGAAGTCGCATTGTGCGGGAATAGCTTTTCCCTCCTCCTCATGCCTTTTGTTTCCGGGCCCCTGACTGATGGTACCTTTGCGGGGTTACCTAGGAGGAGCCTCTTCCAGACCAGAGAGGTTTATTGCTGGGAGCCCAGGTTAACCATCCCACTTCCATTTAAGTGCTTCCGAGAGAAAATCCAGGGAAGTGACTGTAACAACGAGCTGCTTCTTTTCCTCTGCAGGGTTTTAAAAGCGCCGGACCTGTTCCTGTGTCACCGTCCACAGTGACGGCCAGCCCCCGCAGCACCTTCGTCCTCCGCTGTGTCTGCCTCAGATCTCACTTACGATAATGTGAAAGGCAATTCTGTGTATCACACCGCACAGAGAGTTAAACGTTTTGGCTTCAGCACGTTTGTAACTTTAGATATATTGCATTTTATTTTATTTTTTAGACACGGATTCCATTAATTCCATAAAAATGATTGCCTAGGTGTTTAGGATCCTATTCATTTGAAGCAAAGTCCATGACAAAGGTTCAGGATTGGCACCCCGAGATACAGGGCTTTTTCTTAGCAACTAGCCGGGCACACTAGAATGTCTTTCCTGTGCTGAGTTCAGAAGCAAAGACAAGCCACTGTCGTTTCCAGTCCGTTTAGCTCGTAATCTTGATTTTCATGGTGTCATCGTTGGTAGCTTTACCTTGAAACCAGCGGTGGGGGTTTTCGTTTCTTCTGAAGGTTTGGAAGACAGCCCTAGGCTCAGGTTGAGGGGCTCACACCGTAGCCGTGATGGAAGGCTACAGTAGAAGATGGGGATTCGTGAGCAGAGAGGAAGCGGCTTGCTTCTCTGGTCTTCCTCTGAGGGTTCAGTGTGGTTTAGTGAGTCCCGAAGTCCAAGCTGCCTTGTTGAGACTTTCTTACTTGCTAGATGTGGGGCAGTGATAGGATTAGAAAGCCAGCTTTGAGAAAAATGGAATTCTTTTTGTTTACCTCCTGAGATGTTCCATACTTTTGTTTTAGTTTTATGTTTTCTTTTTTTTTTTAAGTTTGTTATAGGGTATGTGTGCTCACTGACAGAGATGGGGGGTAGAGAGAGAGAGAAAGTGAGAAATCACCCTCCAGAGGAGATGGCTATGCCACAATCCCTTCTGCTCCGTTCTCCTCTCAGGATTTTGGGCACGCATCCACAAGTGCGCAGCATGAGTTCCAAGCCACCAGGTCTGGCATACGAACCATAAAGTCAGCCATGTGGGATCAACCACCTTAACCTCCAGGCCACCGGCTGACGCTGTTTCATACTGTTTAAAGCACATGTTCAATATTAAAGTCACTTGAGATACGCACTTACCTAGTCTACCTAAACCATCTCACTGATTTTAAATGGAGCCCGGGTTGCGTCGCTTCACTGTGAAGTACTCGTGAAGCTCACGTCCGAGAAGAACGGAACCTGCTTTCTCAGATAAGTGACATGACGTTTTTTCCTGCATTTTTCTTTCACTTCCAAGCAGCCTTAAACACAAGCCTTACTGGGGACTGCTTGCTTTCTCGGCATACCTTTTGAGGACACTCTGAACTGACCACAGCTCCACTTGGGAAGTGCAGTGCCTAAAGCCTGCTGTGCCTAAACCCTATCCTGAGGCGAAGCTCCAACGGCCCCAGCACCTCACTCCAGCGCTGGCACCCTGGGTGGGGACGCCTCCCTAGTCCCAACGGCCCCAGCATCTCAGAGCTCCAGCGCTGGCGCCCTGGGTGGGGGCGCCTTCCCAGTCCCAGCCTGGAGCCCGTTGGCCGCTTGTCCTGGCAGGAGCTCGGTTTCTCCCCCTCGCACATTTAGCTCCCATCACTTGGAGGCTACGCAGGTGCTAGAAGGGACAGAGGCCCAGGCAGCTCCTGGTCCCAGTTTGGGCATCAGCTTGTTCTGTGACCTTTGGAAAACAACTTCGCCTCTCTGAACCTCAGTTTTCTTACAGAGTTCAGGAGGTCAGAGAACTTGACACTCCCAGGTCTGTTATGAGTTCCTACCCTTTGCCTCTCCCATCTACCCTCCTCCCTCACGGTCTCTGGAATCTACACTTATCCTCCCTACTCTCATGTCTTCAGATCTTTCCATTTGGAATGCCCTTTTTAGAGCACATGTTTTATTCTGGGACCAGCAGATGGCATAACAGTTGCATTGCTGGATCCCATGTGGTTGAACGTGGTTTGAGTCCTGGACCTGGCAACTTAACACTCACGCTGGGCACATGTGTGTGCATATCCAAGATCCCGAGAGGAGAATGGAAGAGAAGGGATTGTGGCATGGTCATCTCCCTAGGGGATGATTTCTTGCTTTCTATGTCTCTCTGGCAAGTGCATGTACCCTATACCAAAAATCTTTCTCTAACAAACAAAAACAAGTATTTTATTCTGATAAAAAATATCCTGAAATGAAAGTCAAAGTTAATATAATCTATATGCATATATATATATATATATATATGTATATAATTTTAAACACTGAAGATAGTATCCTAATTAATATAAAGTAGAAAAAAAGGAAAGCAAGTTTTTAATGAAACCAAACAGATTTTGGTAAAAAAAATATCTTGGCTATAGCCACACGGATAATACAGCTAGGTCACTAGGTGCTGTACCTTTATGTAGAATCACCAGCTACAAATACAGACCGATAGGTGCCGTATGGAGCTCGAAGACCCAGTGTTACCACTGAGTGTGGTTTTCTGACATGCTGGACCACTCTTGGACATGTTTCAAAGAATAAAAACTGATAGTCTTGCCCTGGTTTGCACAGCAGTTACAATCCTGGAACAGCCACTGTGTGCTGAAACCATAGTGTCACATGGTGAAAGGTCCTTCCCAGGGTCTCAGTAAGTCGTGAAAATGCAGACAGGCCAGAGCGCTGTTTCCGGGAGCTGAGGGCACACTCTGATTTCAAGAAAGGCCCCGTGTAGCTCGGTCTATGCACTTTTGTCTTGTCTGGCTGTTTCTCTGTCACTTTTCTGATTTGAACTAGACACACAGAATGTTGACTGGTCTAGAACCATTTCTGGAAAGAATCCTTAAAAAATCAAAGCAAGCTGACCTGTAGTCATTTCTTTTGGGCCTGTACCTTATCCTGAGAGATTTTGAAACATAAAAAGGACATATTTTGTAACTGGGGTAAATGTTCATGTGTCATTGGTTTAATAACTAATAATAAAATCAAGAAAAAATGCTTTGTAACTGTTGATTCTTTTTTTTCTTTTTTTTTTTTTTTGAGAGGTTTTTGCTATAGGATGCGTGTGCTCACCAGAAAAAGAGAGACAGAGAGACAGAAAGTGAGAAATCACCCACCCCCCACCCCCCCCAGGGAGAATGGCCACACCACAATCGCTTCCCCTCCACTCTCCTCTCGGGATCTTGGGCATGCACACACACATGCCCGGCATGAGTTTAAGCCACCAGGTCCAGGACTCTAACCGCGATAACTTACATGGGAGTTCAGTAACATAGCCATTACGCCGACTACTGGTCCCAACTGTTGTTTTTTTGCAATGAAAGGCCTTCCTTCTGAATTCCCAAATTTTTTTTTTTTTTTATTATCATCATAATCTTCTTTCTATTACACTAGATTACATATAACTTTACATTGACTTCCATTGCTTTTTCAAAAGGGAATGCCATGCATGTCAGTCAATACAGAGATATCAATCTCCCTGCTTTATCATTCAATATCTTTTCCATGCTTTTCCCAATAATTATTATTATAATTTTTTTAAACAGTCAATCACTATTTCTCATTTTGCTTATTAAAAAGACTTCACCCATCATGAAATACTTCCCAGACCGGTTCAGTTGAGAATTGAATTCCCAAATTCAGCGATGCCCTTCACCCATATCGATCTGCGAGGCCTGACCCCGGTCACCAATTCATTCGGCAAATGTGAACTGCTCTGAGGCCCATCCTGGTGTGGCTGCGGTTCTCCAGTGCAGCTAAATTGCGAGCTTTATTTTTAATTATGTGTACATGTATATTTAAAGTGCATTTATTTCTTCATGGGATGGGGAGAGAAAGAGAAAGAGGGGCCCCCCACTGGTGGTTTCACACTATGATCCATCCCCAGCCTCAGCCAGCCAGAAGCACGGGCACGCGTGTGTGGGCAGACCTTGGGACTTGAACTCAGAACCTGAGCCAGGCACTGTGCATGTGGCCCCAGCATGCTGCCTGCCCACAGAATCGATTTTACTCACTACCCATTGTGATATTGGAGCTGTGCTCTCTGAGTAGTGCTGCATGTTGTCATGGAGTTTCACTTCAATTATTTCAGTTACTCCCACGCAAATGTCAGTGTGTGCTCGCCTTTATAGGTAAGGGATCTATCCATCTGCCTCCCTGGGCGGGCTTGTCCCAAGGCCTTTGATTTCAGGATAAGATTCTGTCTTGTTTTTCTCTCTCCATGGCATGTAGCCTTAGTTCTGTGTTTGTCACTCACGTGTTCGTTCATCACTCATTGAATACTTCCTGGCCGCGCCCGAGTACCGGCTAAGTACACACCACTGGGAATGCCGTGGAGGAAGTTCTGGCTTTCGTGGAGTTCAATGTTGTGTCCAGATACATTCCTTGGTGATGTTCCTGGCAGAGAGATCAGATATGATGGAAGAAAGGGAAAAGATGGGGTCAGAGCACAGCAAATTTATTTATTTTAAAATATTTTCTCTTTATTTACCTATTTATTTGTGGTTTTATTATTTTTTTTAGAGAGTTTTTTTGTTTTGTTTTGCTATAGGGAGCACGCACTTGCCAGAGAGACAGAGACAGAAAGCAAGAAATCAGCCCCTGTGGGGATGTCTGCACCACAATCCCTTCTCCTCCATTCTCCTGTTGGGATTTTGGGCACGCATATACACACACCCAGCTTGCGTTTTGAGCCACCAGGTCTGGAACTCAAACCGTGGTTGACTACCTGGGAGTCCAGCAACATAACAGTTACACCATTTGCTGGTCCCTTTTAGAGAGATTTTTGCTATAGGTGCACGTGCTTGATAGAGAGACAGAAAGTGAGAAATTACCCCCTGGGGGATGGCCACACCGCAATTCCTCCTCCTCCATTCTGCTCTTGGTATTTTGGGCACGTTCACATACGTGCCTGGTGTGAGTTTCAAGCCACTGGGTCTGGGACTCGAACTGTAGTCAGTCATGTGAGAGTCCAGTGCCTTAGCCACATGCCACCTGCTGGCCCTTATTTACTTATGATTTTCAAGCCACAGGGTTCAGGACTTGAACTGTGGTTGGCCAAGTGGGAATCCAGCACCTTAACCATCATGCTACCTGCTGGCCCAGTACAACCAATATAAGAAAGGTTGTAGATCGTTGAAGGATGCAGATGCATTATGGGGCTCATAGCTCCACATGAAAGAGCTAGGGAAGGCAGTCAGAGCAGAAGAGCGTGGTGAAGTATGAAGGTACTCCAACTCAGTTAATCACCCACAGGCACTAGTCCTTTGACAGCTGTTTGTTGAACCTATAATCCTTTTTTTAGTTTTCTTCTTCTAGAACTTGCTAGAAAGACAGAAATAGTGAGAGGGAAAGTGAGAAATCACCCCTGCCCCAGAGGGGATGGCCACACTACAATGCCTTTTTTTCCACTTTCCTTCTGGAATTTTGACACACAAATATGTATCTGGCATGAGTTTCAAGCCACCAGGTCCAGGACTTGAACAACTACCAGCTATGTGGGAGTACGACACCTTAACCACACCATGCCACCTGCTGTCCCCATATCCTAATTTTCTTAATGGCAATGATGTACTAATGTATTTATTTACATTTTAGATTTATTTACATTTTAGATTTTTGCCATAGGGTGAGTGTGCTTGCTGAAGAGAGAAAGAGAGACAGAGACAGAGAGGGAAAGTGAGAAATCACCTCTCCATTCTCCTCTCAGGATTTAGACACAGATGTACATGCATCTGCACACATACCCAGCATGTTTTTCAAGCCTCCAGATTCAGGACTTGA